GGAGGCCATCGCTATTAGGTTGGAGGCCATCGCTATTAGGTTGGAGGACATCGCTATTAGGTTGGAGGCCATTTGTAGTAGGCTGGAGGCCATCGCTATTTGGAGGCCATCGCTATTAGGTTAGAGGCCATCGCTCGTAGGTTGGAGGCCATCGCGATTAGGTTGAAGGCCATCGCTATTAGGTTGGAGGTCATCGCTAGTAGGTTGGAGGCCATCGCTATTAGGTTGGAGGCCATCGCTATTAGGTTGGAGGCCATCCCTAGTAGCCCTCTAGGCCCAGGCCTTCACGCGGCGTGGGTGGGGCCCCTCCCCGGAAGGGGCGCTGACTGGGCCCTGCCATTTGCTGGTGCCATGGATAGGGAACGTTTGCCGCCTGGAGCGGCAAGAGAAATCCTCCGTGATTTCCAGCTTTGGGGGGATGACGGAGGTTCCTTGGTGGATCGGCCTTCGTTGCTGGTTCAGGACATGGCCATTCGATCTGGTGATAACCCCTGGCTGTTTGAAGCTGGACACCTCGTAGCATGTGGTCGAGGCCTACGACAGCTGGACATGGATAGTGTTTGGATTGGGGAGGATCGTGAGATGCCTCAATCCATCACCATGGACTGGAAGGCTACTAGCAAGTCGGTGCTGCATGACATGTGTATTCGTGGTATGCAAGGCAAGTGTCTCATTTGGAATGCTGCCCTGAACTACCCAGGTCCTGAACACAAAGGATACCTGTCCATCGATGATGACACTTTGGTATTACCATTGAGTAAGCGCTCCTCAGGCATCATTCCTGTTCTGCACTTCTTTGGTGGTGCTTGGGGTGGATGGGGATATGCTTGTCAGCTTTTGGCCGAGAAGGATGTTCCGGTCATTTCTGGTTGCATTGAGGTAGATTTCATGGCGGCTCGACAGTATGCTTTATCTCACAGGTGCCCGCTTTTGTCTGCCACACAGGAATTGCCTCCGCTTTCATTGCTATCCTTCCCAGAAGGTTTCTGCATCCATGGTGATGTTTTCGAGGACTCTTGGCTACAAGCTGCAGCATGCTGGAATGTTGAGGTGATCACAATTTCGGCCCCCTGTCCACCCTGGAGTGGCGCTGCGGGTCAAATGGGTCTGCATTCTGCGGAAGGTCAACTGTTCATGAGGGCTATCGGAGTGTGCAAGATCCTGAGGCCCAAGATCATTCTGATTGAGCAGGTTGCGGCTTTTCATTCTCATCCCCATCGAGCCTGGATTGAGAAAGCACTGTGGTTTGCTGGCTATCAACTCCGGTTTGGCCATGTTATTGAGTTGAGTGATGTCATGCCGGTCAAGCGTGCACGTTGGCTGGGTGTTGCATACCTCATCCATGAAACGGATTGCCACTTTCCGGCTTTGTCCTCGTGGTCCACTCAGAGAGTCAGTACATTGCTGGAATTTGACTGCATTCGTTCTTGGCCTCCTGACATCTTGATGCGCCTCAAGGTGCCAGATGAAGCTGTGCAGCATGCTCAGTCCTTGCCTTTGGACCGTCCAGCAAAAGCTCGCAGGACACACTCAGTGGAGGAGGCGGTGGCTTCTCACACCTTCAGATCCACAGATTCTTGTGTGCCCACCTTCATGGCTCAATACGGTAATCAGCATAGGCTCCGCCAAGAGCTTCTGGAACAGCGAGGCTATTTTGCACATTGGCTCCAGACTGTCGATGATGACACCTACCGATTTTGGCATCCAGTTGAGATTGCTCTCCTGCATGGAGCTTGGAGCGGTTTCTGGACTGATCATCAGTTTGAGCAGAATTGGAAGGGGTTGGGCAACCAGATTGCGATCCCACATGCCTTGTGGGTGCTAGTCCAGGGCTTGAACATGCTGAAAGAACGGAATCTGCAGTTGAATTGGTCGGAACTGTTGGATTACTTTGATCAACACCGTCTTCGGGCTTCAGAGCTACATCAGGAGATATATCCATCAGGATCCATGTGGATGAACCGACACGCACGTTTCCTCCTGCATGAGGACCCGATTCAGCACTTGTTTCAGGAAGATTTGATGCGCATCCCTAGTGATCACCTTTGGACGCCGGAATTGGGGATACTCAAGCTAAAAAGGGGAGATTGTGTTGGCATTCATGGGCTCAGACAGTGGAATCCCATCTCCATCCTGGCCTCGCAGCGGGACCATCTGGAGGTTACAGCTCCTGTTCGGCTCATGTACAGGTGCAGGATCATCTTTCCTGGGCAGCCAAAACAGTTCATTGTTGAGCATACTACGCCCGTGAAGGCTGTGTTGGCTCTATGGAGGGGAGCCTTGAGGCTGGAATCTGATGCGTGGGAGTTTGACGACCAAGATCGACTCTTTCCAGTGGCTGATCTCCCAGGGGAATGGGAGGAGGATGATGCAGGCGCTTGTGTCCCAGTTCTGAAACAGGACACCTTTGACTTCCGATATGTGCACCACCGTGAAATTGTGCAGAGCCTGCTCAATGTGGAGAAGACATCTTGTGGCACGATCAATTTGATTTGGTCCCACTACGTGCGAATGTTGTCCCAGGCATGTTTCTAAGCTTGCATGGTTGGACCCATGCCCGGCTTTCATTGTCTGCCACTCAGATCCTTGAGGAGCTCCTTGAGGCCACAGGGCAGTGTCATTGGAATCATCGGAGCGATGTTCATTCAATCGGAGGCACAGGAAGCAGTGCGGGATGTCAGCTTTGGGCCACGATCTGGGAGTCCTCTCTCACCAATGAGGGCCGAGCTTCTTTCCAGTTGGAGGTCTCCTGCGATCTCACCGAGAGTACCTTTCAGGTTGATGCCAAGATTGGTATGTTTACTGCCATTCCGCCTGGGGCATTTCAACTGTGGTGGGCAGTACGAGCTGCACGAAGCACCTTGGATTGCTTAAGGATTCCTGAAGGCATCTTTGTGGCTTTCAAGTGGTGCAAGCGATTGATCTGGGAGGGGCATCTTCCCCCTGACATTGACATTGCAAAGATCATTTCCTTGCTGCAGCAACTTTGGATGCCGGTGATTCGGGGGGAGGAGATTCGACTGATCCATGGGGCCTCTGCTACACGCCTCTCTCCAGAACAGCAGTTGGGGTACCTCACTTCCTTGACTCAGCAAGGCAAGGCATATGTCCTCCACATTGTGACCCGCATCCAGGGTGGTGGTGGTGGCGGTCGCAATCCACAAGCCATCTCTCTGAAGAATGAGGTTGCTGGCACCCTGCTTGACTTACAGTATGACCTCACCTGGATCTCCAAAGCAGTTGATAGTCTCTTCAATCACTTGGGTCATGCTGCTGTGGCTGCCCTGATGAATGGGAAAAAGGAGACCCGTGCTACGGCTGTTGTTCAGGCTATGAAGCAAATCGGGTTGGAGATGCCGAGGAAGAGGTCTGGTGCCTTTGATAGTCAGAGCTCGTCCAGAGAGATTCTGATGTCCAAGAGGAAGCCTCCTGAGATCAACCTTTCCACGGTCACTATCATGCAGGGATTCCTTCTGAATGAAGATGATTCCAATGCTCTCCAGTTGACAACCTTTGTCCCTCAGTCCTCTGGTGTCTTTCTGGCTCATTTGGAACAGGCCCTGCCTTGGATCAGGGAGAACTCCATCCTATCTAAGGACGAGCTGGGCATCATTGTGGTGACGCAGACTCCAATCGAGACCTCTCTCAAGCATCACCGGGTCACACTTCCATGCGAAATCCCAGGAGCGGACCCCATCATCCTGGCTGGCATCCTCATCCAGTTTGGAGAGAAACAGCTCAAATGTGTGGAGGGGGCACATCGCTTGAGCGATCCGACCTGCGGGAGCATTGCCTTCACTCTCTGGAAGCAGGATTGGGATCCTGAGGAATGGACGAGAATCCTGGAGTCTACTACGCCATTCATTGGTGCAATCTTTGCTGAGAGTGGATGTCCTGAGCTCATCAAGTCCACTTGGGGGAGGTCTCTGAGAAACCGCAACAAACCAGCCCATGCTGCACAAGCGACCTCGGTACAGCTGCATGGGAGCGTTGCACCTGAGAACATCCCACGAGTGCTCCAAGCTAGCGGGTTTAACAGGATTTTCTGCACACCCAAGGGCTTGGATGGACGCCAGGACCGGAGCTTCCGTGTGATTTGGACCGAGGGTGACATCCCCCGCCTGACATCGCTCTCCAAACAGACTGCAGGATGTTTAGGCTTGGTGAAAGGCCGAGAAGGACTGGGTTTGAGGTTCAAACAGGAGGATTTCCTGGCTGCCTGGCAAATTATTTGCCCGTCGAAAGAAGCACCACCAGATTTGAGCAAGGCGATCTTGGTTAAAGTGCAGCCTCTCCCCTTCGGCACGTCGAAGGAGCAGTTGACCCAGTGGGCACTCACGTACAAATGGAGCATACGGCCAGTTCGCCAAGTCGGAGCACGAGCATGGCTGATAGCTACAACAGAAGATGTACCCAGTGGCATACTCATGTTCAATGCAGCTCCAGTGCTCGCACGACCATTGCCACCGAAGACTGAGGAGCGCAAGTCACCGATCATTGCTGGAGATGCAATGCTCAGCAGGGCAGGGCCAGTTGTGAGTGCCTCTCCCCCTCAGGGGGCTGACCCTTGGGCGCAATACTTGGCCTCTCATGGTCGGCCAGTTGTGCCTGCTCCTCCTCGATCAGTTGTCGGGCCCACGGAATCCAAGTTCCAGGAGCAAACTGGGAAGCTCACCGCCTTGGAGGCGAGGATTGCTTCCATTGAGTCTTCAA